GGAGAGGATGAGTCTGCCTCCCGAGATGAGGTAGACCGGTTGCTTTCGTGGTGTGAAGACAATAACTTGGTCCTCAACACCAATAAGACCAAAGAGTTTATAGTGGACTGTAGAAGGAACAGATCAGACATCCAGCCTTTGCTTATCCATGGAGACTGAGTGAAGCAAGCAATGAGTGGCCAGTTTTAAGTTTCTGGGTATTACCATAAAAGGCGACCTGACCTGGGGGGGCTCACATTGCAGCCCTGGTCAAAAGGGCCCAGCAGAGATTAGACTACCTGAGGCTTCTCAGAAATCAAAAGCTGAATGGAAAACTGTTGGTAACCTTCTACCGCTGCACCAGAGAGAGTATCTTAACTTACTGCACCTCTGTATGGTTTGCCAATTGCACAGGGGCAGATAGGACAGCACTCCAGAGGATTAACGTCATTGCCCAGAGGATCACTGGTTGCCCTCTCCCCTCTTTGGAAGAGCTTTATAGCTCCTGCTGCCTCAAGAAATTTCAAAACATCTTCAAAGATCCATTTCATCCTGGGCACACACACACACCCCTTTTTTTTTTTAACTATTACCATCTGGCAGACGGTACAGGACAATAAAAACAAGGACAAAATAGGCTGGAAAACACCTTCTATCCTAGGGCAGTAGCTCTTTTAAATTCTACTGTATAGTGCAATATTGATGCAATATCAGAGGTTTTCCATTCAAGTGTATAGAATGTAAAGGGCGTGTGTTTGTTTTATTTTTATAGTTATAATGTACACTGAAGATGGTGTTTTATTTCATTTGTACGAGGTGCAATGACAATAAAGTCAACTAAACTAAGATGTTTCTGTAAAATGAGGCCCTCACCTGCATCAGCCACCACAAAACGCCAGCGCAGCTTGGACCGTGGGCACAACAGGGCAAAACCAGGAGGCCCCCCCTTTGCTGGAAACACAACCGAATCCTGGTGACTCCGGAAAAGGTTCAAGGCCGCCTGGGGGTCAACGTTGGCGTGGAGCGGCACCAGGACCATCAGGTGTGGTGGCCCATCCTTGCGCCCCAAATGCCGCTTTTCTTCCAACACCTGCAGACGGAGAAAGAAGCCAAGGTAGGTGAGGCTCCTCCACTCTCCAGGGCAAGCGGCCCGTTTTCAGCTTCCCTGCTCTGCTGCTGCCGACTCACAGCCTCCTGGTGTTGCCGGCGAAGCTGCCACGCCCGGTGCTTGCGGTCCTGCTTGGACCAGTTGCGGTGTACCTGACGAGTGAAGGTCTTAACCGGGACCCGACCTGGAGGGGGAAAAAGGAGGGGAAATGGCAGATTTGCTGGCTGGCTGCCTGTTGCTCCACGGAGGATAAAAGCAGGAAGTGCTGTCTTCGACCAGACAGGGAATTTCCAAACCTGGCAAGGCTTGTGGACTTCAACTCCCAAGATTCCTCAGCCCAGCCAGGCAGACAAGAGGGACTCTGGGAAATGAAGTCCAGAAGTTGCCAAGATGTGGAGGGGAAGACTGGTGTTTCTCCTTCTCAACCACTTTGGTCTTGAGCTTCCAGAATGCCTCGACCTTGAAGTCACTCAGAGCAGGGCTCTCCA